GGGAAATGCCATTTCCAGGCTCTAAATTTCAAAAATGTTATGGGGGAGTACCCTCAGACCCCCCCCCCCCCGCCATCGGATTCGCAATCGCGGCGTTAGCCATGCGCACACACCATAACCGCCACTCTTGATATTATCACTGGGTGATCCTAAATTTTTCTGCAGTAGCACATTTTGGGAGGCCACTACGGCCCTGATAGGTGTGAGCACATGATATAGCACGTGTTCGACATTCCTGCGGCGGTAGGTGGGGTGGGGATTTATTTGTTCGCTGTGGCAGTCAGGTTGTTACCTATGTTGTCTAGAACACTATGTAAGTGATTACGTTAGATTTCCTAACCTTGACCTCAAGTCACAACGCTCTCTCAGGCAACCTTCCCGCAGAACATGATGTTTGCACCGATGACTGCACTCATGCAAGCGAGTTCCCCACTCATGCTTGTTAGTTCCCAACATTGTTCCCAACAGAGTAAATTGTGTTAAGTTGTGCAATCGTTTCAAACAAATTCCTCTTGTGGCGCATGCCCCCGAACCCGTTGCACCCCTGCCCACCCACCGCTTGTGGCGCATGCCCCCGAACCCGTTGCACCCCAGCCCACCCACCGCTCGTGGCGCATGCCCCCGAACCCGTTCCACCCCAGCCCACCCACCGCTAAGTGCAACGCACGAATGTTACTTGTACTTTGCCACAGGCACTTGAAGCGTTTCAATAAAATATAATGCTAAATAAATACGAACTCCGAATAGATTTCGTATTTATTTAGCATTATATTATATTGAAACGCTTCAAGTGCCTGTATACTTTGCCCCCCTCTGTATTTCGCTTGCTCGCGCAGCGAAGGCGAGCGAAACGAAGGCGAGCGACTTTAATAGCTTTTTTATATCGTTATATCTAACCTCCCTTGATATCTACTTTATATCTAACCACCCCTTGATAACCCCATTTTATATCACGACATTAATCTTACTATAATTTGGCGAATGTTGTATGTTAATCAAAGGCTCCGTCAGTTTGGATCCAAATAGCGCCAAATTCACAGAAGAGATCGATGAGTACACGGGACGGGTTCTAAACTATAGTCGGTTGAAAACCGTTTGTTCGGTCTTAAAAAAGACCAAAAAAAATAAAAAAGTTAAAGATTTGCCTGAAAAATAGGGGGCGCTGTTTTGTTTTCGTTTTGTTCTGTGTATGTGTGTTCTGTGTGTGTGTCTGAAATTTTTGTAAGCCCAATAATGTAAGTAGAACGAACCATGTAATAATGAAGTTAAATATTCAGTAGCTATTTGGGCATAGTTTCCCATATTAGATGTACAAGTTAATCAAGTTAATCAAGTTATGAGATGCCAAGTGGTTAATCAGTCACCTGACCTACCAGCTAGCCCATTCACATCTATCTATATTCTAACTTTGGAGTCCGTATCATCAACCAGTACATAGCATACAATAAAACATTTCTGTGTGGCCGTGTGTATTTCATTGTGTACTTGCCAAACAAATGGTTAATGTGTTACGTGTAAGCATGATTGTACATGTATTTCTATTGACATCTCAAGTTTTCAACCATAAAAAACAATTAAACATGTGCAACAACTAAACTCTCCATATAACACCTTACACATAACACTACTGTACTGGTAACACATGCATCACAGTCACTAAGCCCGCGCGTAGCGCGGGTTTCAGCTAGTGACATTAAAGTTGGGAACGCTCCTAATGGAACATCACCCTAACTTTGACTTATGTAACAGCTTTTTATTGCTTAATAGAGATAGAGATACATATAAAGTAAATTATAAAATGTAAATATAATGGTGTCAGCTATTTTCCCACCGTTCTAGACGCTCCGCCTTCATGCTCGTTCTCTCTATACCAAACCTATAGGCTCTTACGTGGCTAATACGGCATGTAACACGTACTAACAGAACGTCTTAGTTAGTAAGTAGAAGAAGGAGAATTCTAATGATAATGTCTGTGTGTGTGTTTTGCAGACATTTCTACGTGATTCCTGTCTTTGTCTGGTGTCTGACGGCATGTGTTGTCTTCGCCCATCAGATCATACAGCCCGTCGTGTCCGTGTTGACCTTGGCCAAGGGTGGGGTGTTGATCGTCACGGTGAGTGCAGCCCAGTTACCACTGCAGCTTAAATACTACTGCAGCCTAATTACTAGTGAAGCTTAATTACTAGTGCAGCTCAATTTCTACTGCAGCTTAATTACTACTGCAGCTTAATTACCAGTCCCCAGCATGAATGCATTTTTATTATATATATGTATATATATATATATATATATATATATATATATATACACTACTC